CCACTGGATCTTCCCGTGAGGCACGATAACTAAGACCGTAGAAGTTCGTTCGATCGGAAAGTGAACCCACTCATCAAACTATTGATGAAACTGACGCATCAAGGCGGGAAACCCAAATTGCTTACCCTCGAAAACCACCCAGTTACGAGACCGCCAAATACGCCAAAGAATAGCAACTACAACCATGAACAAAGGTGGATGATGTATCAAATTCATCAATCTCTTAAGAAAAAGTGGGAACGTATGACGAGGCAACCCCTCCCCAAGATAGTCCAGCCCCGAGTAGTCCCATAAAGCACGCGCCATTAGACAATACAGGAATAAATGTTCTAATGTTTCAGACTCCGCCCAACAGACCGGGCATCGGGGAAGAACAGGGACATCCTTCTCAATCAGAGCCTGCGTAGTGGGCAGGACTCGATTGAAAATTTGCCACTAGAACACCTTTAACTTCGGAGGAATATTAGCGTCCCACAGCCGAATCCAACTAGGCTTATCCATCCAGCTAACCATGGACCTCCAAGGACTCCCCCGCTTATCAAGTGATACAGCTAAAGGATACGCCGATTTAACAGAGAAAGCACCATCCGGCGTACCATACCAAATTAACCGATCCTCCACATCCCGACGCGGGAGAAGGATAGACTTGATGGCACGACAGGTATCTGGGTCAAACCATTGGCTAAGCTTGGCATCACACCACCGCCCTTCTCCTGGACAAAGCACCTCAACGACTAATGGGTCACCACCCACTGGCAAGATCTGAGGGCTATACACAGGAAGCTCAGGCTGTAAGCCGGGAATCCAGTGAGAATGAAGCAGGGACATAGTCTGGCCATATCCAATTTGCCACCTCAAGCCATTTTCCAACAACTGGCGACCATGCAGGATACTCTACCACCCCCAAGACGGGCGAGAGAGAGCCGAAGCCCTGAGGAACGACCCAGTCGGGAAATACTTCCCTTTGTAAACCTGAGCTAACAGGGACTGAGTTCCGTAAGGATACGCCATCCAATCTTGGCCAAAAGAGCCTGATTAAATTGTTCAAAACGACAAAACCCCAATCCCCCTTCATGCTTACTTCGAAACATATTCCGCCAGGACACCCAACGAATCCTTTCATGACCTTCATCAGCACCCCACCAAAAACGGGCCACATGCTTATCCAAAAGACGACAAAGAGACAAAGGCAGCTTGAAATAGGACATTACATGCAGAGGTAAGGCCATATCCACTGACTTAATCAGAGTTTCCTTCGGTGTCCATGATAAAGTCCTTTGCTTCCACCCCTGGAGACGCTCAAGCAGTTTGTCCTCTAGATATCGGAAGGTAGCCATTTTAGAACGGGCAATCAACGAGGGCAATCCCAGATATTTATCATGGACCCCAACCGCCCCAACCCTAGAATCTGAGCCAGGAATTGCTGATCCGGAATGGAAATACTCCTACTGAAGCACACTGCAGACTTAGCCAGATTTACTCTCTGCCCACTAAGTTCCTCATATACATTTAACATCTCAATTAAATTCTTGCACTCTTGTAGAGAACCCCGCAAGAATAAATACGAGTCATCAGCAAAGAACAAGTGCGAGATCCTAGGGGCACGGGGAGCCACTTTCACTCCTGTGAGCTTTTTATCCGCTATAGCCTTGTGCAGGAGCGCCGCAAACCCCTCCGTGCATAATACAAACAATAGAGGAGAAAGAGGGTCACCCTGCCTAAGCCCCTTGGAAGGAGTAAAGTAACCTGAGGGAGTACCATTCATAAGGACCGAAAATGATGACGACCTGAGACATTCATGTATCCATCCTTGCCATACGGAGCTAAAGCCCATTTTTTCAAAACCGCAAGAAGAAAAGGCCATTCGACTCTATCATAGGCCTTTTCCATGTCATCCTTCAGAGCCATGTACCCTTTCTTCCCAAGCGTCTTGATTTCATGTAATGCATTAGCTCATGACCAAGGAGGATATTCTTAACAATCTGTCGCTCCCGGATAAAAGCATTTTGCCCATCTGAGATGATCTGTGGCAAATAACAAGCAAGTCTCTCCACCATGATCTTTGTTATAACCTTATAAACAAATTGGCATAGACTGATGGGTCGCAAATGGCGCATAGACTCTATATTATCCACTTTCGGGATCAGAGTAAGCCAAGTATGATTGAAGCTCCGAAGCATTCTACCCGTGGTAAAGAAAGAAAAAACTGCCTCAACCACCAAAGCACCCACTATATCCCAAAAGGACATAAAGAATTTTCCAGTGAATCCATCAGACCCAGGGGCTTGCTTCGAGCCCATGGAAAACACCGTTTTGCGAACCTCATCAGGGATCCATTCGTCTGTTCGTCTAGGTGAATTGATCCCCCTAAAACCCCGAATCATGAAGACCCAGGTTGAGAACAAAGTCACGAAGGCTAGAAGCCTGAGCAGCGTTCCAAGGATTACCGCCATCCTTCTCACTCTCGTGGAGAGTAGTGTTAAAATCACCAATGACCACATAGGGGAGGGAAATGGTCGCACAAATGTCTTGAAGATGAGCCAAATGGGTGGCTCGGACCGCAACATTACAACTAATGTAAACACACATCACAACGTACAAAAAGCCAGCTTCATTTATCCGAACACAAATACAAAAATTTGACTGAAAAACACCGAAGCATCAACTCCGGGGGACCACGTTATCACTAACCCACCAGATGCCTCAACTGCATCAACAAAAAAACAATGCGAGAGGTCAAAACCTAACCCCCTCATACGACGGGGCACTACACGCCTACTCGATCGTGTTTCCGAAAAAAACTCAAGATCCAATTTATTGGAACGAACTAGACCGACAACAGTTTGGAATGTGAGGGATGGCTCAATTCCTCTCACATCCAAGGTAGTAGCCCATTTATCTGGTTGGGGCCACTCGAGGTTGGCTTCCTTTACCTTATCCGGATCATCTTTCTCTTCCACAAATTGCTTTTTTGGTGTCCGGGCATCCGCCATGGCATCATCAATTTTGTCCAAATGGTGCTTTCGATTTCCGACCTCCAACTCCCTGAGATTGGTCCCATACTCATTGAGAGTAAGTGGGCTTTCCTTGTCGGCATTACCAGTCACACCAAGCCCAACTGGGGATTGCTGGATTTTTGGCAGCCGAAGGCTTACGCCACGTAGTACCCCATTTTTGGGCCTCACCCAACCCAAAAGGCTGGACCACACGTCAAACGCGCCCGGGACGAGAGCTGCTCCCCATCGATTTCTTTTTGGGAGCACGCTACTTCAATTCGAAAAGAGTGGCGTCCTCCTCCGACAGTTGGGTTTCAGATTCTATCTCCTTACGCGGATCCGACTGCTCGCCATCAGAATGGAGAATCATTTGCTCCGCCAGAGAGTGAGTTAGCAAGTCGGAATCCTCAGACTTGGCTTCCTGTGGTGGTAGAGACGCACCAGCCTTCTCAGTTCCTTTCTTCTTCTTTCCTTTTCCATGCACAGTCTTCGAGCCAGCCTTTGCCGGAGCACCCCTGGCCTTGGTCACATTACAACCATTCAAAGGACGTTTACCCATCCCATCCGGCAGCCCTCATTAGCGAGGACGAGTCGTCCATTTTGCCACGTCCCCCAATAGAGCCAGCAACACGCTTCGGGATGGTAGGGGGTTCGGACGCTTTCCCAGTAGCATTCCCCGAACGACGAACAAGTTGAGGAAGCTCGTAAACTTGAAAATCATCTTCCGACTCCTCCTCCAGAATTAATCGTCGACGACAGGATAGAGCCGCCTCCTTAGCGACCGTGGTTGTTTCTGGCTGTTGGGAGGGAACTGTCTCCATCTTTAAAACTCCCATTCTTGCCTGTTGGGGACGCGACAAAGTCTGTGCCTCGCGCTGAACGAGGTTCATGAGTCCCCGCCCTTTAGATTCCTTAGGTATAGGGCGCTGTCAATCAATCACCATAGGGGCAATCCCATCTGTTTGACGTGCTGAAAAGCGACGAGCTTGTTTCCCAATAATCAGCTTGGGAGCCTTGGACATGGGAAACCGGAGAGGACTTCTTCCTTGAGCCCCCTTAGGTTAGATCTCCATGAAAGGGTTCGAGGAGGAACCAATCCAACGAGGACTAGCCGCCCTCACCACCATTTTCTCCTGACCACGATCCCGCCTGAACCCTTCATCTCGACGACGTTGCATCTTAACGTCTGCCTCATTTTGTTTTTAGTAAATCTCGATTCACCCAAACCGATCTCGACACCCCATGAATGTGAGGAGCATCCTCGTCAGCATCATACCCGACTTCTTTGTGGACATGTGCGGGCCAAATCTTTCCTTCCCAATTGGCGGATCAAAGGTGCAGGCTCGGCGTATGTGGCCTACTCGTCCACAATTGAAACAGAAGTTTGGAAGGTGTTCATATTTGAAATTAATCCATCAGGAACATGTCTCATAATTTGCCGCCATGATTTGAGATCTCAAAGGTTTGGAAAAGTCCACCAACGCTTTCACCTTAACAAAACGTTTTGCCGTATCATTGAAGGAGAACACTCCTGCCTTAAGAACCTGCCCCAAAGTGGCATTCGCCACTTTCCGCCCAAATTGTTGAGTACAACAGTCCTCCTGGACATCCCACATCTAGATCTGGAAAGGGGCTATCGCCAGGTCATCAAAGGTACGTCTAGTGACTACTGATGTTCAAGCTCGAAGGTGGAGAATCTTATCACTGATCACCCATGGTGTGCGTTTAAGCACCCAGAACTTGGCCTCCTCCGTTGGAAAAACAAACTCAAACAGCCCATGTGCAGCCGAGCGGACACGGATCCTATCCTGACCTTGCCACGGGTGATTAATCGATTCCCGTAGCTCACTTGGTGTGATCTTGCTATCCGTGAAAAGGCGGCCTAGCAACATTAATGATTTGCGTGCCCTCTCCGACTGAATTTCCTCCATATAGAACTGCACGATCTTGTCCTTAGCGACATGAGCCATGGTGAGCGCCGGTTTGGGAATTATGCCTGGGGAATTATGCACTATCTGCCACGTCCTGGAACAATTCTCGCCGTTTGTGATGGTGAAGAATAGTCAAGGATTGGCCTGTGATTAAATAGAATGTTGTACCAGGTTCTCCCATTGGTAAGACGTGTCCTAGTAGAACACGAGGTCTACAGAGAAGGTTCAGGGAAGGACGCAGAGATTGTCCCCACCATTTAATGATACGGCGGGATAATCCAAACCCAACGTCTGCCACCAAATCCGGGATACGAAGAGATAGGTTTACTTCGTTTGTTATCCTAGTTAGGATACTTCCCAGCGAAATATCCAGTCGGTATGCCGCCGCCGGCCACGGCTGGGGAAACTGCACTGGCAATTCCACCCTTACCCTCTGGGCAAGAACACTCATTCCAATATCCGGTTGGCATTTTGCCGTTGGCCTGGGCTGGGGAAATTGCACTGGAAATTCCACCCTTACCCTCCGAGTAACAACACTCGTCCCATAATGGGATCGGAGCAGAGGGCATGGCAGCACCACGTTGATCACTAGTGGCGCCTTTTCCATGCCTGAAGTATTGTGGAGCAGAGAAGTGGGAACTAGCCCTTCATCATTCTCCAGCTCTATCGACGACGGCAGCCGGAATCGCCATGTCATTGACTTTAACATTCTCAATCTTTTCGAGACAACGGGTTCAAAATCATGGACTAGGTGAGGACCTGCCTTGCGTTTCAGGGCCTTCCAATCGGGACACTGTCTGAGTCTCTCCCCCATCACTCTATCTCCAGGTCGCCGGCCGGGCATAGGATGTGAGACTCCACCCGGGACAAGCAGAGGATCAGCGTTCACCCAAGACCTTCCATTCCGTTGATTCTGTAAGTTGATCGCCAAAATTGACAATAGACCGCAACAAAGGAACCTCGCAAGCAATCGGAACAGCTCTAGGAGCCGGACGGTTGCTCGGACGAGTTTGCGGGGAAGAGAGAGAGCTCTTTCCCACATTTTTTTAATCTGCCGTCCTCCTGAGAGGAATTACCGTTGCGAGGAGCGAACTTGCACTGTGGGTCTTTGGAGAGTTTGTGAAATGACATACCGGATGCCACTGCCTTTGTGCCGAGTATAATCATTTTTTTTGACAAATCTACACATAATATAATGATAAAATTGGAAAATGAGAGTCTCATTTCAAATTTCGTGGCTTGAGAGTGATTCTAGGAAGCTCTTTTTCGTCATAGTGCCCAATATATCTTTATATTATGCGTAGATTTGTGACAAAAAATTATTATATTTGTCACAAAGATCAATGTTTTGGCTACACATATGTATTTTGTCTAAACTGAACCACACATACAATTTATTATTTAATGTTTGATTCAATGTTACTTGAGTTCCGATTTCACAATTATCCCTTTCTATAAGATATAATAATTTCAGGTAAAATACCTTTCCTACTTGGTTGAAGAAGCTCTTTCTATAAGATTTATTCAATTTTTAAGATTTTCAATTTCAAATTTCATGAAGTGAGAGTGAAAGTAGGAAAAGTATTTTTGTCATCACAATTATTATCTATTTCATATGTAAAAGTATCGATATCAAGATTTGAGTCATGGTCTCTTCAAACAAAAACAATAATCACAACCAATTACACTAAACAAATTTGTTTTATCTTCATAGATTGTAAACATGCACTAAACGAAGATTTGAAAAGCAAATGACTTTTCATGGTTAGCAAGCCTATTAAATTTTCAAAAAAGCAAAGTTTAATACGTGATTTATAATTTTTATAACCTATAAAATGACGGGTAATCTTAAAATTGCAACACAAATTTCATTGCTTGAAATATTGCATATCGAACTACAGTATTGAATATGCAAAAGTGATGTAGAATTTTGTAAATTAATATGAATTTTCAGAACTAATAGGAAAAACTAATATTTTGTACAAACTATAGGTGTCTGATTCTGTAAAATTTTAGCCTGGTTAATTGCTAAAGGTTAAATTCTTGTTAATCGGGCATGAATGGGCCCGACAATAACGAGACGATATCGAGTTTAATGTGATGTTCATTTCGTCAGTTTTGGATCGGATGTGTTGATTAATTTATAGGGCATTAACATCGTCAGTTATAATTAACCTCATTATGCAATTTTTACTCTTTATAATATTTAATTTAATCTTAATATTTGTGATGTTTGAAATATTTTAGGTATGATTTTGAGGTATAATTATTATTTGTAGTTTATTCGAATGTAGTATTTCATCAGGTAGTCAAAATCGAATACTGGGTGCATTTATAACTGTTTTTGTCTTGGTGTTGTGAATAGGTAGAAACTTAATTATTACGATGCATATAACTATACCTAGGCACATGGTCGATCTAACCATGAAGACAATGTATATGGATCGGTCATGTACAAGTATGAATGCTTCATGGGTCGTACCAGACTTAAACTTCAAGGGCTCGGACACAAGTTCGAGCACCACACATTCTATATTGGCGAACTCATGTTTTATGAAGAAATGCACCATTTGGTAAAAATAAAACAAAATATTCAAAAAAATAACATTTAAAATTTGAATTAATGACTAGTTTCTCACATCAACTTGTGATGGCTCATGTTCTAAAAGGTTTATAAAATACATTCATTGTTTATTTTGAGACTCAAACCTTTTTCAATGTATACAAATAAAAATTCATTCTTGATTAACTTAATAGTTGAAAAGTTTTTTTTACAGCTGGGAGTAATAACAAACAACGTCAACAATAGTTTTAGAAGCAAGTAAAGTGAAGAAGAAATTGAGATTTAGTATTTCTTTGCAAATGTGTGTGGGGGGCGGGGAGATTTTTTTGTCTAAAAAATTGAGAAAGGGTTGAAACTCATATGTAATTTGTTTGAATATTGAATATTGCATATTGAATTGGATTATTGAACATTTTGGAAGAGATATATAATTCTTAAATTAGTTTAAATTTCCAGCCCGGTTGACCAATAGCCTTAGACCTTTTGCTAATCTGACATGGATGCAATAATCATAAAATGAGATTTAGTTTGATATGGCGTCGGTTCAAAACCAATTTTTTATATGTAATGAATTTGTACGACAAATACATGTAAAGTGAAGATGAACTTGATTATGCATTTTGATTCTTTATGTAAATACAAAAGTTTAAGGCTTTAAGCGATAAACTAACTATACACTCACTCGATTGGTTTAACGAGTTCTACTTTTTATCACTTTTAATAATTAGTTTATTCACAAGCTATCAAGCTACTTTGCTCCGTCGATGAATAAGCAACCATCTATTCGCCAGGTTTCAGGTGCTCTGATTCACACTATCGATTGTGAATGGAGAAGAAGCATTTCAAATGCAAAATTGGAGAATTAATTGGGTTGTTTCTAGGTTTCTCTCGATTCAAGGCGGTGAGAAGAAAGAGGAAGGGAAAAGGGGGAGAGTTGTGAGATACAAAGTTGGGAGAGAGAGATGGAAGAACAAATGGAAAAACAAAGAGGAAGACAAATAAAGAGTGAGAGGACATATTTAAAAGAGGAGGAAAATGAGGTAGTGTGAAATAATTGTGATTTTGTTTTGATTAGTAGATATTCTTGGCCCTATTATGTTGAGTTTTGATTTATTTTAGGAGTTGACATTATATTTGACATATTTTTTCTATTTCAATTTAAAATCCTAAATCAATAGTATCATTTGGAAGATGTTTTCCTAAATACGATTATTGTAATTTCTGAGATTTAATGGGTATTTGATAATGTCAATATTTTAGTGGTTTTTTATTTAAAGTTTGTATTAAAAGATCGTACGTACCGGAGGTTAGACCATGAAACTTCACAGCATAGGCTAAATCGATATGTGATACTTAAGAATATGAAACGGTTGAACCACAATTAAATAATAAATACAGTATAAAATACTCTACTACCAACTTTTTTATTCGATTTTACAATCCTTTGGTTCAAACAATTCTTTTACAATGGTGGAAACAAAATTTTTAAGGCACATTTTAAAGTATCTATCGCAAAAAAGCATAAGTCAGTTAGCGATAATGAGAATATGTGATTTCATGCAACCCAAAAGACACTTCGCAGCTTCTATATTTTAAAATAAATGTATTCTACTCATACCCTCGCTCATTCATCAACTTAATGAGTAACATATATTTCATGTAATATTATTTTCATATGTTTTTATTTACTGAATCATTTCTTGAAAAAAATATTTGGTGCATGAATATTACTACATTGTTGCTAGACATGTCTGCAATCTGAGAATAATTTGGGAAGTCCGTACACAAGATATTGTCCAACTAACTATTAGCGACAACTTAGCATCATGTCTTATATATTTCAAATCAAACAAATTCAGATTCATTACCAACAGTGTGGTAAAAAAGAACGCTCTCTATTGGGGAAAACTTAAAAGACATACTAAACTCTATTAGACATTTTTTTTTGCCAAAGATATTCCGGAAGGAATAGCAAGATACGAAAATATACAAGACCAAACGGTCAGGGAAAAGAAACAAGAGCAAAACGATGGTCAACCAGACGCTGAACCATCGATGCGAGGGCCTGTTTTGCCACGGAATGGGCAGCCCTGTTTTACCTACGAGGAGCGAAATGAAACAAAACACGCGCAAGAGAAGTCCGCAGCACCTGAACCTCATTCAGAATTGCCCCTCCCAAAGCGTGATTCGAATCCTTCGCGGACACCATCCGGATAAAGACCTGCGCATCACCACAAAACAGAACATTAGTTACGGAATGAGAAAGGCACCAACGCATGGCATCCCGAAGCGCCAATAGTTCAATAAGAAAAGGATCGTGAACTTCCGCGTAGGAACGCCCATAAGCAAAAGAGACAACATTCTGAGATGCGAAGCCAACAAAACCGATGGCACCCCCAAAGGATTCCTTAGTAGCTCCGTCAAAATGAACAAGCATGAATCCAGAAGGAATAGTAGGTGGAGTTGAGTTGCGGCAAGCAGTCGGTGATGGAAGATGCTGCCGGCGTCTTGCAGTCCCTGATTCTTGAGCTGAAAACCATTCCGCAGTTTGACAGTTAAACTGTCGCAGCAAAGAGACCGGGAGGAATTGGATGAGTTCATAAGTAGATGAGCATCTCCCTTTCCAGATCCTCCAGTATAAGAACACCAATCTCGTCACCTCGGCGCGAGATAAGCCTACATCTAAAAGCAAGAACCTCCAACCTATTGCAACGTGAAGTGAGTTTAAGTGGTGGAATAAATGACCAAAACCTGCTAACTCCCACAATTCAGTCGCGATTCGACATTCCAAAAAGCAATGAGATAAGGTTTCTTTAGGATGAGAACAAACAGGACATAGAAGTCCCTCAACATCTTCTTCTTCAATGAGCTCTTTATCCCGAAGGACATCTCGCACAGGTAAGAAACCTTTAATTAGCCGCCATAGGAAAAATCGTAATTTAGGAGGAACAGAGAGGGCCCAAAGAGCTTTCCAAGCCCGAGAATCAAAGATAATAGGAATAGTAGAAAGATTACGCACAAATTCAGAAGCTGCAACATGGTAACCAGGTTTTACAGAGTACTCACTTGAAGGTTCGTAATGCCATATAAGTTTGTCAGCCATAGGGAGTTGAGGAAGCGGGATCATAAGGATTACCTTAACTGTGGCAGCATCAAAAAGAGACTGCAGTATTTCCATTTTCCAAGTTCCATTCTAGTGGTCAATGAGAGAGGAAATCTGTGTAGACGGCAGAACAGCATGGGGCAATAGCTTGGGACGAGTAGGTGGCGTGGTGGGGAGCCAGCAATCATTAGTAATGTGGATTTGAGTGCCGGATCCAACGAGCCAGCAGAGACCTTGCAGCAAGAGATCACCTAAAGGTTGATTATGTATGCATGTATTATGAGAAGCAACTATAATATTCAACTATATGATTTAATTAAGTAATGAATGGCAATTAGTTATATTTTTTTATTCAATAATTATATGTAATGCTTATATTATATTTTTGCTCTTTTTATGGATCACTTTCAAAAATGTTATGTGCATAACTAAGATAGAAAATCATGCATTTCAAATCATCTATTATATCCATTATTATATACAATATTTCTCGACAAAATTTTTCCGGCCAATGGGCCGAGCCCGGTTGTAGTTTAATTGAAAGTAGGCTACAGATTACAGATAACTGCAAATTACAAATAATTTATTTTCAGTAGGCCTAGTAAAAAACACGAGTTTGTATGTTTTACAGGCTCAACTATAAATTTGTGGCCCAATAACATCATCTAAAGTTTATTCAAGTGACTTTTTGGATCAAAACGTCTCTCTCATCTTTTCACTCGTCTACTTTCTAAGAAACCTAGAAAACGCAGACAAATAATTGACAAGCTTGCAGGTGCAATCCACTGAAACTGATCAAGAAGCAAAGTCGCGCGCCACCAGGATCCATAGCTTCCTCCTCCCCGCTTAACTTCACAACCCAGTCTGGAAATCTAGGGACGAACATCTTCTGGTTCTTGATCCTTTGTGATGGGACCTGTCGGGGAATGCCTAAACCCGAGTGGATACGTGGATGGGTAGCAATTTACTATCCATAGCTCATTTCGGGCGGGATGGTAATACCTGTTCGTAGTTATGGGCGGGGGTGGGGAGCCACTAACCCGTACTCATACCTACATGTTGTCATGCCTAATCATCTTCGCGTTCCCTTCAAACCGAATCTGTGCGAGGCCACGATCCATAACTACTCGCGAAGGACTAATAGTTTCACTATTGGTGGATTATCAATATGTACTCCTTTTGCCAAGACAATCGAACCACTCTGGTATTTAATCACCATTCCTCCCGCTGAGTGTGATCATTCCTTGTTGCGTTGTCTCACATGCAAGTGACCGAGAGAGGATCTGAAGCATTCACGCTCTCAGTCTGGGGAGGGGGAGCTGAATTCATACTGTCAGGTGGTGAACTGATTCGTTCCTGTATTTATTGGTGACAGTACTGCCGCATTAAAGATGCAACCTGAAATTGTTTCCTTTCAAAAACAACTCAATTTCTGGATTTTCGAATCCGCTAGAGGGCCGGGACAACAGCCATACTATAATAAGGTTGATTGAGCAATTGCATAAACTTTTGAGGAAGAGGAGGGAGTTTTTGCGAGGGAGACCTTGGCCTAATATTCTAGGCCATAGTGATCTCATATTGCCCACGTCACCGGACAGTGAAGAAAAAGTAGCTCCATTGTCTCCAAATATGTCCAACATATCGGACTTCGTGGTACCACCAGAAATAAGAACAATAGTCGATTAGGAACAAAATATCGTTAAGAAAATTTATTTGGTAACGCTATGAACAGGTTTGTCATTCGTGTTTTTTTTTTTTTTTACAACTTGTCATTCGTTCCGATGAGTGAAAAAAATTAGCAGTGCCATTTTGCAAATGAAACAAACCACACAAAACCTAATAAGCTGGTTAAAAAAATTGGTTACTGTTTGGTAAAAGTTAATTGTGGCTCAAATTTAAAACCCGATGGGAATTGAGAAAGCCCAAGTCTCACGGACCCAAGGCTGCTACGGGCTCGGGGCTGTAGAGGCTGGAGGTGAGAAAACGGTTGGGGCCTTCGGAGAAGATTGAGAGTCTCGTGAATGGTTACAACTTACAAGGGATATTTTCCTTCCATTGAGGCTGAGCTTTTATTTGGGCCGAAGGCTAGCAAGGGATTATCCACGGTTTTAGGTTCACGAGTGGGCTGTCATATGCCAAAATCCACTTGGAATGTTCAGGCTCATTCATATTCATGACTTGACAGAAAAATCTGATCTTGTTCTGTTCAGACTAGTTTAGGGTGAGCAATGGGTGAATAGTGATTCTGTATGGGTTTGGGTTGATTGCAGGAGGAAATGACTAATACCACTTGTGAGTGACTTGGTTGGTTGATTGCAGGATGGTAGGAGGGTGAACAGGTTTGGTAGGTCGGCGAGATACTGTTCGATCAATCGGAATTAAACAGAAGAAAACTAATAATCGATTTACGTAGTATCGATGGAGTGTTAGAAATAATCCTAAAAGAGTAAAAACTCTTCGAGCTAGGAATGGCACACCACAACCACCACCTAATCTGCACACGTATGAGTTGCATGGGCTAGGTAAAAAATACAGGCTAATGACAGATAATGGGCTTTTGAAATGGGCTCTAATTACTCACAACTAACAGAAATAATATTGCTGTCTAACATATACCTTCCAAAAGGTTACATAGTTCAAGAAGTTGTAAACTACAATTTCCAAACTAGACAAGGTTTAATCCATAAATAAGATCCAAGGGCATGAATTTGGGGGAATGGGAAAGATATAGGTTTGCGTACATGGACACAAATTATATTTCAAAATTATCATGAATAATAATAGTTTGGAGAGGGCATTGATTCAAATTATTAAAGAAGGATATGTAAAGATATCCACCAGATTTTTCAATCAAAATCGGAGGGAGTTGGTTATGATTTTGAAGGTTTTGGTTTGATAGACCAACAGGTAAAAGGGTCGTAAGAGCATCGAACTTTTTAAGATTTAGATGGTACGATAGACGATAATGCTCATTAGTGATCAAACTCTGAACTTACAGATGAAGTTGATAATCAATTTTGAGATCATTTCAAAACAGTCAGAAATCAAACATGAAAATGTAGCATTTCTCGTATTTAGCACCTATTCGTAGCGTTAATTAAATTTCATCCAAATGCGAACATCAAACAAATCACTGACTTTAGCAAGCTCTACATCTAGTAGACTTTTATCACTGATCTAGTGATCTTTCATACAACGAAGAAAAATTGAGTTTTATGATACCTGTCATCCAAACATATTAAGATCCGAAGTGGTCCACATTTTATTTAGATTACCGTACAACAAATGATTGACAGGATACATTAATTAACCATCAACCGGAGATATCTTAAACTAGACAATGTTTTTTTACCGGTCACAATAATATATAAGATAGATTTAATTATATGAATCAATACCCGATCTCCCTCAATAAGATAACTAATCCACCGTTAAGCACCACGTTAGGAATAGGTGTTTCTTTTGTTTTCTTCTCATAATTTTCATTAGGTCTAGTAAGTTCCAAGGCCTGTGATTTGGTCTTTGCCAGGCAATTAATTAAACTTGAACCGTTAAATATTATTATAATTATTAAACTCTATTAATAGGGAAGGAAATTTAGAAGAGAATAGTATCCAAGATAAAAACAACAGCAGACAGCAAAGGAGGAAGAAAAAAGAATTTGAAATGATTAATAATGAAGGAGATTAGATTTGCTCAATGATTAAGGTGGGTGAAATGTAAATTATCATTTTCTTGCTCTCTTGAGCAGATAGAAAAACATATTGTAAGACAAAAAGAGAGCACATCAAAACAAATTCAAAGGCCACAAATCTCGGATGAATTCAGATAAAATAAAATAAAGGTGCCTAGCTGAGTAGCTGTGCTGTAGAAATTTATTATCCATAGGGTTTGGTAATCTTTTTCACATTGGATCAGGGAGAACTATTTGTTCTCAATAATTTGAATTCTCCAAAATGAGTGAATAATAAAATTCATTCTATATTTTTTACACATCTTCTTAAACTATATTTAACTCACAGAATTTGCAATTTGCACCGTCTCTATTATTGGTCATCGCACAATGTACTTAAATAAATTACAGATGATCATCAAATTCAAGCAAGAGCTAAAACAAAATAATTTTCTTTGTGCCAATAAGTACACATACGTTACTCACCCAGTAACGAAAAATGAAAACTGACAAGTTAGAATTTTGTATAGTTCGAACCGATCACCTCAACGTCACGCCGTCCTGTTCCTACGCCATTAAGTTAATTTGGATAAACAAACACATTGATGTTACATGCTATAATACTATTTGGAGAACTAATTATGGGAACGTACGAGAAACCAAAAATGGGAGGTGAAAATGGATCGGTGATGGGATGAGAAGAGAAGAGAAGAGAAGAGAATGAGGAAGTGGAAACAGCTGTGACAATTACAAGCCAGACTAGCCCTCCAATAATTAAGTCATGATAAACAACTAAATCATGGAAGCAAAAAAAGAAAGAAAAAAAAACTACATAGAATATTATATATAAACGTTTCTTCTTTGGAGTTGCCACAGTACAGCACTATGAACAAAGGAAGAATGTATCTATCGAACTATTGCTTGTCCATTGCAATATTGCCAGCAACACAACATATTCGACCACCTTTAGTTTGTGAAATTCTTGTACCAAAACGAATGAATGAAATCCTGTGCGGCAAAAGTTCGTTTGTCCAATTGCTTGGTAGCAAGCTCAGCTAGATTTCTCTTTTGATTCTCAGCTCTTTCATTTGTCCAAAGTTGAGATCGATGGAGTTCTCAGACAAGATATGGTTGTTGATCAGTAGCTAGAATGCTAGATACGGTACAATAATTTAAGAGTGTTTAAATTGATGATATTATTTCGCTCAATGTTTGTTTTGTTTCTATGGTTATTGTGAGTTTGGTTTGGTATGTTTGTAAGTCGATGTTATAATTGTCAATAACATGTTACTCATTTTTTATGCTACTATGTTGTAAATGTTACCGTTTAAGTTGGCATGTTTATCATCATGCTTATAGTATTTTGTATCTTTGAAATTTTTTTTTAATGTTGTTGTAGTTCATTTTTCAAGAAATATTTTTAGCATTCTCGTTATAGGTTAATTTGTCAA